AATATAATATATGCCAACATATTATTTTTTATTTTCAATAAACTCTGTACTCTAATTAAACGAATTATCAAATCCCTTAGAAACATTCGACGCCAGACACACTAAACCATTATGACTGGTTGCTTGTATTAATAAGGTAATTGTAAGAATCGCCTGTGCGTCGGTGGCATAGTGGTAGAATGCTCACCGACTACGCACGTGGTAGGGAGTTCGATCGCCGGCCGACGCACTCCTTTACCTCGCTAAGGCGGTAGTAGGGCTGGCAAAGAGGAAAGGTTGGAATCGAGGCTAGCAACCCTATCCCGTGAAAATAAACACCTTTGCTACCGAAACTTCAATCCTCTAGCTTGAAGCCCTGTGTTACACTGGAAACGTAAAGGAATAAAAAAAATAAAAAACTCTCCTGACAAAGACTTCTGAACAGCACTGTGAACCGATATGTAATTGCTTTCCATACGTATTGTTCCCTTGGGTTTCTAGTGGAATCTAGGGTTTCAGCAGCACATCTCCCTTTTTTCATGTTTTCTGAAATCGTCCTCATCTGGCCCCACGATTTCCTATAAGCTTTCACCTCCTCTTTACACGATATCCTCTATGTCATCTTGAGACATTCAACTTTCGGTTTCCCGTTCGCGTTCCACTTGAGGACCTGGCGAGCAACATCAGTCAGCGGTCTCCTCAGCGTGTGTCCGTTAAGCATCTTGTTTACTATGACTTACAAAAATGTTTGAAAACTTGTAGTTATATTAATATTAAGATAGGACTCTGTGATATTTCAAATCACTGTCAATGATTAAGAGAAATAATTATATTTCCAGGAAACTAGCCAATGAATAGGGTATATTTTTCATGTGAGTATCAAGCACCAATTTCAGAACATTATTGAATTTTTGATGTTTAACAGATGTCGTGTGATCTGAAACCATACTGGCTGGATATTACTTATTATGACTTCATTGAGTTGATCAACAGAGTTTATGCGGTAGTTAGGACGAGAAATTGTGACATTGTTAATTCCCTAGTAAGGACTAAAACTTCTCTTCTTGGCAAAATAACTTGTACGATTACAGGATTTCATCATAAGCTGAAATCGGGTAGAGGACAGTTAAAAAGCTTGGGAGTACTGGACAGCTATTTCGTACTACTCTGGGACTCTTCTCCAGTAGACACCCACCAAGGTTGAAGCTCAGGACCTTTCGGTTACAAAGCGAGCTCGTAGACAATTAAGCCACCGAGACTCATTCTAACGGCCCATGAATTCGCGATATAGTGAGCTAAGACAAAGCAGCTATCCAGTACTCCCAGGTTTTCCAATAGTTCTCTAACCGATTTAAGTTCATGATGGAGTCTTGAAAACCAATCGAATCCCTGCAAACTAACACTTGAATAACTTCAATGATCTCAACTCTCTAAAATACATGGTGCCTAATAACAGTAACAAAAATTAAGCCAATTGATTCTTTTTGACTGGCTTCACTAACCGAAATATTACCACCACTTATTTTTCAAGCGGTGATACTCATCTTCTATGATGTTGTGTTAGTTTAAGCTTAAACAATCAATCAAATAAAGATGATACATTTACAAAAGTTTTATTCAAAAAATAACTCAACGTTTTGTCATTTTCTCGTCAATCAAAGCCAACCATATAGGTGGCACTCAATGAGAGACTTACGAGAAATTGAAACTTCTTGACGGAATATAATCAGAAAATATAAGTGTGTTTCGGTGACAGATCACAAAAAAAACTGTTTAATGAGAATGTAATTCATATAGATTTAACCTCCTGAAACAGTGTGGTTAACGATATACCAATGATTTTTCCAGGATCTGATCTTGTTCTATTCTCTAACTGAGATGATAGGCGTAAAGGTGTTTTGAACGACTACTTCTCATTAAACACGTTATATAACTTTTTCCGAATGTAAATCTGCTTGAAGAATTGAAGTAAAATTATACTGTACTCAGCACTATTTCAAGGACTCTGTTATAAGTGGGATTATTCAAATCAGTGATAGAATGAGTAACGCAAATCTCCTTTCTTAGATTAAATACTTCCGATTGATTTAGATAATTACGAGAAAGAAGTGATACTTATTTCCCTCAATCTACTTGGACGTTGGATAAGTTACCTGGTTTCCATTTCTCAAACGATGTCATGAATACTGTATGCACGGACGTTTTGATGAAGCAGTAACACTTTTGAATATTTGTTTTATGTCCTTCAAGCGTACTATTTACTCCTAACGTATGTGAAAACTTTTTGTCACATCAACATTAAGTATCTATCCCACAACAAAACTAGAATGAACATCGAGGAGCTCTTTCATAAGTTCCCCCCATTCTGAGAATTATTAAATATTTTAAAGGTAAAGCGATTTATCCTGAATTAATCTTCAGTATAAATTTACCTGAGCATTTTAAGAAGTCAACCTCCAGGTTTTGTAAGAGAAAAACAGTTTATAAAACGAATACAGCTCTTTAAATCATTGTATGCAGCGAAATAGCTGATATCTTCGCTAAACATTTATTTTAAGTGAAGTATAATCAAACTTTATTTGTTTTTTTTATTATAGCTTGATTCCACATCGTATTTTTGATACAAGTATGGAATTTTCAGCATGCGATACCGGTAGCCCAAATTTGCAGGCCAACCATTGATATCAAGTGTGCATCGGCAGGGGATTGAACCCTGGATCATGTGCTTGGTTGGCGAGAGTCCTAACCTCTGTGCTACCAAAACACATGAAGATGTCAGCAGTATTCATTTTTATTCAAGGGGTTTATGGGAGTGTGAGTACTGAAAAAACTATTATTTCTTTCTACCTTCATTTGCAAACAAATTATGTCATGCCCACCTACAAAATAGGTTTGGGCGCTGTTGAACTGTCTCAAGCTTACTTCAAACAGCTGTCCAGTGCTGTTTAAATTAAGAGAGCCGTCTAGCTCATATTGAACTCAATACCTGGACAAATAGCAAAAGATAAAAATTCAAAAGTGAAATAGAGGTTGTCCTCTAGCTTATTTTGTGGTTTTGTTTGCACCTGAAATGTGCGCTCACTAACATGCAGGAAATGAGATTAAATGACTTGATATCTGGCGAACCGGACTCATCTTATAACCAAAAAGATTAAGAAGACATTCGTTATACTCACAGCTTGCATATTGAATTTATTTATTATCTTTCTGTTAACATCAGTATATTACAAGTGAGACAATACACAACACAGTTAAGCGGATAAAATCTTCTTTACTGATAAATTCATCTTCAAAGGCTTTGCAATTGCATTCGTCTCCAAAATGGGTACTTTATTATTTTCCTTTCCTTGGGTTCCTATTCTAGTGCGACATAGACACACTTTCGCTTGGCTCCAAGACCGCTCACGGGTCGTTATTTCATCCTCATATGGTCTCTTTCATCTCACTGCTTGATGCCGAACCCTTAGCTCTCCACTCAGGGACCTTGCATGCAGTGTCACTGAACAGTCTCCTTAGCGTGTGCTCAGTTCATCTACATTTCCTTTTGCATATTTGTTGAGCAATAGACTGTTGATTGGTTGCTTCCCAGAGTTCCTTGTTGCTTATTCTTTCTGACCGGCAGTCTGTTCCTCTGCATACAGCGAATGTAGCTGTTTATAAAAGTATGTAGCGGCCTGTTGGAAACACTTTCCGTGACGTACATATGATTTCTCTGAACCACGTAGATGCACAGACTTGACATTAGTGTTAATATTTCAGGACTTGTTCCATGTGCTAAGTTTTATAGATCTCTACACCGATTCACTCTGGTTCCAGCTAGTTCTGACATCTTAATCCTTGCTGCCTGTAGCTGAAATGATGCTTTGTGAATGAGTAAAAAAAGCTTTTGGTAGACTTCTCCCGTCTTTGATGACTGATGTTTGTTGTCGTCGGGTGGATGTCCTCATGACTTTTTTATTCCTTATGTTCACCTGAAGTCTTTCCATGGTTTTCCTTTCTTCCAACTTGCTGGTTTTTGCTTGTATATCCTCGAGTTTGTGTGGTATGAGACATAAATCATCTGCGAAATCCAGAGACTGTAAAATCTTATCTGTCCACCATATGATAAAAGCGTATGGCCGTGGTTATTAAGCAACTTCGGGTGTGACAAGATAGCACTACTTTTCTTGACACCATTAGTGAATGAAGGTAGAAGACAAAGGGTAAATACAGCTGAAAGGCAAATTTTTTATTTGTAAAAGTTATTTTAAGATATCAAACATCTACAGTCTGTCTAGCTGAATTTAAACATCAAGGAGTTCTTTCCTCAAACTATCTTAGAAATAATAATATGAAAAGATCAAGAAGACTCAATGAATGATAGTCACCTTCGTTTTGATGATTTTATTTATATTTCACCCAACCACGGAATACGAAGGAAACTCTATTTTAATTTCATCACAAACTGGAAACAAATAAAGACCCATTCGGAAATGAGGGATATTTGGTTCTACCTACTGAATATTCCACAACACGAGAATTCATTCAACCACAAGCTTGGAATTGAGTGTCTGATGATTTTTGACTCCTATTAGTCGGCACTATGAAGTAAAGGAATTATTTCATTCCCGCTTTCTACGAATAACCATTAAAAAATAATTCAGAATACTAACGTGACACATAATATCTGACTGTTAAAATAAGGTTAAGATGGTCAACTGAGATACTCCGGTTAAAAATATCACATTCATTCCTAGTGTTCCTCATGAATTTGTATAATTTGTTTGCTTATAAATCAATTCCCAGAATTTATGTCCTTAATTCATATTTGTTTGTGCCGGTCATGGTAAGTTTGTGGCAAAATATATGATTTAACCAATCAGCATTAGATCAGAAGTATTAGGAACATAAATTGTCTGTCCATACCAGACAAATTTACAAACTCTCCTTTTATTGGCCGATTAAGCAACCTTGAAATTTGCACAATGCACTTATCTACCAAGTTCATATCGTGAAAATTGGCTGAGAGCAACAGAATTAAGGTCTACATTCCTCTAAGGTAAGTATTTAGTTTTCTATATTTTTATTAATTAAGAAACAAACGACTTTCTCTATATTATGTAATTATTTCTATGAGATGAAAGTTAAATGTTAAACGAAATGTCTTTTATTTCGGTGTATATTTTATATGACTGAAAGTAAACGACATGTTGCTAGGCTATTCCAATGCTTTAGGATAAATGCATCTAAATATTAATCCATTCATAATCCTGTCTTCTGAGTAACTTGGCAACATGCCGGTTACTTGCAGTCGTTTTATATGTATCTGTCACTATTCATCCATTTAATACAGACATTTTTCCAGTGTGAAATAAACACGTATTCTAAAACATTGAATGAAAAGTCATAACAGTTTTTATGCTGCATTCTAAGATGTAACAACGAAGCAGTAGGAAGTGCATGTGCATAATGCATAAGGATAAGGGGAATATTGTTTTCATGAGCTGAAGAATTTGTCTAGTAAGACAATGAAAGCTTCTCAACTAGGCTACCTAGACCAGAGAACACGACCACACCTAAATCATCCAGCTGATCTACAAATCTACTACATTATATCAAAATCTTACGAGCTAACTTCCTTATATTCATAGGTTTCAGTGGCTTTGGACAATCTTGGATTCCACATATCTATTCTCCAGCTGGCTGAAAAATGTCACTTTGTCTATTTAATATATGATGAAGAATATCACACACACACACAAACTATCTCTCCTAATCGCATCTGAGTAATATTAAGTGATTTCACAATAAATTTTTTTAGAAACATTATCTAGTAAATAATGATATATGTCGAATCAAACTAACCCGGAAGTATATCCAATGATACTACTAAAAATATACACTTGCGACGAATAAATAATAAAAAAATAAACCTGAACAGTCTCCCCAAATGCCGATCCATACCTGTTATTCATACCATATTCATATTCACCGCTATCATGGCGATAAAGTGAATAAAATTCGAACTAGAATATGTTAATTATTTGTAACTTTGAAACACTTTCAATATCCTAGTTTAGGGAATAACTACTATACCCTAATTAGTTACGAAAAACCTTTTACCATAGTTGTTATGGGAAAAAGTCAAATGAAAGGAAGAATAACGATTAGGTATTTATGCAATAATATATATGCTTCATTTCCTAATCAAATCGTTGTTGAGTGTCACAAAGTTTGCTGATGAACGTCCACGATTAAATATCAGATCTCAGAGAAGATCAAACAACTCCCATTTAAGTACCAGCTGGGATCATATTCTGATGTCGGACCTCATACCATAAAACCTACAGGTAATTTTTGATGACCTGGAAATCAAATATCATTTAAGTTAAATTACAAAGCATGATGATATTGAGAGATTTCGACAGATGACTACTTAAATGTATATTATACTAATTACCAATCCTGAGGGGGTACTCACCATGTGAAAAACTTTCACACAGTGAATTTATTCTGTACAGTAGAGGACATGTTGCTCCGACAGGTTTTCCCAAATACAGAATGGAAAAGGTGATTTTCAGTTACCGTTAGTTCTTTTTACGAAAAACCGCCTTCTAACTAATTAGGATTTCTGAAACCTATCAAATGAGAAAATACCTGTCAGAAAACTGCATTTAGAATATCTAATTACACTAATTGAAGCATCAAAAGATTTTGTGGTCCAATCGAAACAAACCCCCACTTTAGCAGTGGGTCATACGACTGGTGGCTTGAAGGCTTCCGATTCTAATTCTGCTGATTTCTTCACACTTAGTTCACCATCCATGGGCATTTGTGTATTCGTTGTTTACATAGACCAGTTTGTTGTTGTACTACAAATTTATTCTAAGAGCTTCCGTTTTTGAATCAGAAGCTCTTTTAAAGAATTTAATGTTTTGTTTTACTTTGCCGGAAATGTGAGATTGTTGATTTGAAAACAATAATAGCACACTAAAGAAAAGATTAGCCTTTTTCACAAATTTCACTCTAAATACTAAATAAAACACATAGGACTGTTAATATTATAACTATATATATAAGTTACCGACATGCAAAAGGTAATTTAGCATACATACACTGCTGATTTCAAGAACTGTGGCGAAATTCCATGTCACAATTAATCCTTTGCTACCTACCTCTCCATGATGTAATAGGATACTTCTTGAAATCATTCTCGAGGAGGTATAACACTGAGTAGACTTGTTAAGGGTCACTGATTCAGTTAGGTATTGAATTATTCCTTTCGCCGGCTTCGGTCGTCGCTTTCCTGTATACAGATCTATTCACTCAACAGTTCATTAAAGACTTCAGATTAAGACTGAATTTCAATAAATTCAAAGGCTGATACCAGCTAACAGTCTGGGAGACTGTTGCCTTTAACCAATCTGTGATATAACCTTGAAAACTTTATTTTTATGCTTAACTTTATGAAGTTGTTTACTTGGAAAGTATATCAAAAAGAAATAGTTTTAGGGACATTCGTTCATTTGTCCCATGTTGTAAAACATAAATCTAGGCGAATTCCGTGAACCACTTCACTAATAAAACAATAAAATATATCAGCGTCAAAGTTTTACTGAAATCCTATGCGCTCTCAGATAAAAAAGGATGCATTATGTGTTAATGGTTTTTGTGGCAAATAAACTTCAGAGAGCAAACCATTGAGGTTATGGTGGCGCTGAGTAGTTGTTTCAATCCACATCCTTATGCAGTGCAGAGGAAATGATCATCGAGTATATCTGCTACCAATTTGTTATTCGATAACTGATTTTCCACCTCCTATTCTTAGATAAACACAACAACATCCCGTAAAGTAGCTACAAAATGGATTACATTTGAAGAAATTGATGCATATATGAATGATGGAGAAAATTTTTCTGTTTGATTTGTACCATAGGATAACTTGCATATTGTTTAAGAGTAGCATACGTGATAGTATTTTAATTAAAAAGTTGTGTTAACTGTAATACACCATTCTCAACATTCCTAATTTTCAGAGAAACACTTCTTATCTAGTGAAATGCTTCACTAGGCTATAGAGTCTCAGAGACAGTTTAACCTTGTGTTACAACGAAAAATTAATCTCATATGTGAACTGTTTTCTGAGACTAATCTAAGTGAAACCTTCAAACTGGCATCAATATAAGACGTTATTAGCTGAAGTTCAAAGTGATTGGAAAAAGTAGCCTTTGAGCAACTCAGCCAGAACGAATAAATTTTTGGCAAATATTACTAAAGCTCAGGTAAGGTGATGATGTCAATCACAAATCCTTATACGGACAACAATATTATCCCTGTCACTTAATGCTTCTTCATCTCATTCGTTATTGTATTTGAAAACTCTGTGCATTATTCGAATCAACCTAATACAGTTGTTTTTACTCTTCTATCACAACTACGGAATTAGTAACGAAAAAACTATGTTATAATCCCCCGAGAGCATGAGTTACTAATTTCACGTACTCCTCTCTCAGAAAGTAAGTATCACCGGCAGAGAATCATCTGAGGTCAGGAAGCAATATGTAATTGCTCCTTCTTTTATAAGCATTATATATATATATATATATTGTAAGTTTTGGTCAGAAATTATTTCTTGTTTTCTTAAAATATTTTCCAGAGACAATGTTTTTGTCGTTATTAATTAACACGAAACAACTCTGAAACCAGCTAATCTTGATTAGGTTCTCTAAACAAAAATAATCAGTAGATAACAAGGATTTAGTTCAAGCTTTGACAAATGAAAATGTTTTCGTTTAATTTCTTAACTTACAGTCATATTCACATTTTGTGGACATGTTTTTAATTAATGCATCAACAAAAAAATCTTTTTCCAAAAGAAGGAAAGGAGACTATTTATGTGAGATAAATTTTAGAATAGAAATGTTAGAAACATATACGATAACTCCTAGAGCTGTAGCTCATCAGTTTAAATGCTTGACTACCAACCTCTGTTTTATGGGCTATAGTCACGCCTCACTTGTTGGGAAACCAGAAGCCAGTTAGTTTTGTCGACCCTCAAAAAATAAGGTTGACTGGTTTCCGACTGCATGGAAACGCTAATGACTGTTTGAATAAATTTCATCGTAGTTGTAAATAATTGAGTATCAACAGAACTCAAGTATAATTGCACTACAAACCAGAGTGATTCATATTGAGGAATGTGAACCAGCAACGACTTGCTACACAGAAGCTTAAGAGTTAAATTATCCTTAATAAGCGTGAATGTTCCGGGAACGACTATATACCAGTTTAGACAAGGGAGAAAGTAGCTTCTCACTAACAGAATGACAAATGTATACAAGCTTTGACTGAAGACAAAACCGTATCTCAGTGAAGAAGAATACCTTAAGTTATGAATTTAAATCCGCAATGCTAACGTTTCTTACACTGTACTGGCTGCAGCATACTAAGTAAAATCGAATTCTAGTAATTCCCTATTGGTCAATAAAGCGGTTTAGTCACATTAAATAAGCTTGATAAAAATAGGACGGAAACCCAGTGAGCATTTTTTCCTTGTCACTTTTCAAATTACGATCGGTACTCATTTGATTATATAATGTTTATATACTTGATTATATATAATTTGTTAATTATAGTAGTCTGACTACGGTAGTCTTTTGGGGATACATTTACTAAGAAGATATTTTAATTATCAGGTGTCTAGATTTTCAAGAACCTCGATCTATTTTGTTTCGTTAAAAAGATATCCATGTGGATGACACCCACACACCATAACTCATTTATCATTTCCTGAGTGGAATGAGTATTTTTTAATAAAAAAAGTAGTTTCAACTTCTTTTTTTTGGCAAGCAGCCGCAATGCCATAAGGTGGCTGATAAAAATCATGGTAGGGTAGAAATATTTGGTCTGTTATTTTATCCATCTTTCCTTGTAATTTTTCTTCTCTTTGACTTTATGATAGCATTGATAGAGACTGTGATTTCCACCATTTGTTGTTTCCCCCCTACTATTAACATCCTAATCATCTCCACCGCCTCTTTGATACCTTTACTCCTACTC